GTTTGTACTTCTGAAGTGAGAATTATTAAGGGATTTAGGAAAGTAAACTTAGGAAGAAAAGATAGAACGTGTATTCAGATAGCCAAAATGTTAAGACCCATACCTATCTCGCCTTAGGGGTATTTATAGATATTTTAAGTCATGTAACTATTGGGCGGTTATCGTGCCACGTGTCCCACGTTGTACCTCGCACTACTCCTCACGTTCCGAGTGGCTGACCTCCATCTATCCAATTATTGGTTGTATCCACGATAACCATTGAGCAGTTCCCATCCAGCTCAAGGACGCTTTTATGGTTAAGTGTCATGTCGGCCTCATTGTGGTAGATGGCCTAATATGAATGTAGAGGGCTTCATAGTGATAGACGCCCTTGTAATGGTAGATGACCTAGTATGAATGTGAATGGCCTCATAATGGTCGACAGCCCAGCATGGATTTAGAGGCCCTTGTAGTGGTAGACAAACTAGCATTCAATTAGAGGGTACTGTAGTGGTAGACGGCCTAGCATGGGCTGCTCTACGTAGATGCCAATTAAGTAGTCTTCGCCTTGTTGGTCATTGTGGATAATAATTGATGCCAAGGATATGAAGCCAAAATGAAGATTTAGGATTGTATTGTGCAAAAAATGTAAACGCTACAGTTGAGCGCCGAGAAAAATTTGGTGATCTGAAATTTATCGTCAACGGCGGGTATGAAACAAAAAGGAACATTTAGGACTGTAGAGTGCAAAACATGTAAATATTACCGTTGAATTGCGTCAGTTACCCTTCCTTCTTAGGTTTTGCAACAGAACTTTCTCTTTTAGGGGACCCAAAACTTTATCATTGAAAATTTATAATCGGCTTTTCTTTTTTTCATTTTTTTTTTATCATTTTATCATTTTTTATTTTTAAGTTGAGGATGTTCTTGTAGAATCAACAAAACAAATACTTTTAACCACAAAATTTTAGGTAGTTAGAAGTAAAATTTCTTTGTAGAGATAACTTCTCAAAGACCAAGAAAAAAAGGATGATAATCTGTATCTGACCTTTGAATAATATTTATTCTCCCATAGCCCGTGGGATGAAATACTAATACACACTATCCCTCTTATTTCAATTTTTTTTCTTACAAAGGAAAACACAAAAATGATTTCAGAATCTAATCTGAATACATATCTATAAATGAAGAGATGTATCAACATCAGTTTTTTCAAAACTATAAGAAACTTTCAAATCTGCAGCAGAACGTAATGGCTGCTGCTGTGAATTGAGAGCTAGAAAATCTGCTGTATTCTTTCCATACAAGTTGAGTCCAAGCGCCAGGGGATCTTGAAAGTTCTGATGGAAATCGGTTTCAGACGAGAGGAGTCTCGAAGGGTCGACGAACAGCTTAAGAAGCTCTCTCTCTTCTCTCTTCTCCTTTAATCTCTGCAACTGTCGAAACCTTTCTTGTAGAAGTACGATGGAAGAACAAACAACTTTTGAATTCGGATCATTATTTTGTCGTCCCATGAATCAAATCGTCTATATTTCTCAGTTTAGAGGCCTTTAAACGTACATATATAGATTAATTGTAGAGAGGAATCGGCTGCTTGCAATAGAATCCAAGAAGAAACGATTAGAGATTTGGAGGGTTAATGGTGAGGGACTTTTTAGGAGAGGAAAATGTTGAATGTAAAAGGACAAGTGAGAATGGAGATAGTGATTGGAAGGATGTGTTAGAGGAATATAAGGTATAGCTAATGCTGGCTTCGGCTGTCTATAGCAGTCGTTTAGCTTCGTAGATTTTTCTATGTTTGTTGGGTGATGAAGGGTTTGATTTGGGCTAAACTTTAAGTCGCTAAGAGACTTCCTAAGAGTTCGAATTAATTATTTTTAGTCATGACAGTAAAGTTACATGCACTTGTCTTAAAATTTTATATGATGTCAAAATCTTTTTTAAATGACAAATTTTTATTTTGGTTTGATTATGTTATTTGTATTATATTAATTGTCATCTATGTTAAGTACTTAAAAATTTTTAAAAAATTTGGATACACTTATTTTATATGCCAAATAGCACATATTTTTGTCCTTCAAATAAGTCTCATTTTTTCAGCAACATTAATTCCTTCTCATTCCTATAAACCTCTCAATCTGATTTTTCCACTAAGGCGTCCCATTTAAATAGACCATTCCCCCACTAAATGCCTAACCACTCCCCACTTGCCATTTTAAACTCCCATTTTGTTGAGTACCAAAAAACCCATCATTTTCATTTGGAAAGTTAACTTGCACGTTGATTTCACAAATCCACAATTTATATACACAAAATTGCACTTACATTATCTTTTAAATCCCATTTTCATTCATTTAAATCACATTTTTAACAGCAATCGCCACTTCCATTGGTAATTAAAAACATTAACCTGCTTCTACTCCTATAATCACATTTTCTCTGACAAACTATCATCATATAAATAAATTTCAATTGCCCCTTTTCATAGTCTAAAGACATCAGGAAATTATTAGGAGGATAAGTTAGGAGCATGCTGCATTTTATTACAAAATTGGACACAAAAGGATATTTAAACTCCAAGCATTTAAGGAAAGGTATTTTGACACTTTTTGTAGGAGAATTAAAAATTATTTGTTTTCGATTTGTGTTATTGTGTTGCTCATAAGAAAATGGAAAAACCGTTTGATGGTTCAAATAAGATATGAAGATGATGGTTTTTTGGTACTTGAACGTGATAATCATAACCAGAGAGTAAGTGGACTGCCTGATTACCAATTCGCTTTGCAAAATTGACGGTGATACAAATAATCAAAGTTGCATTTCTAGAAAATATATATTTTCTCATCATTTATTTAAGTGTTTCCTTTTGAGTATTACTTGTAGTACTCTTCCCCTACTAAAATTTTACAAGCTAATTCGAGGCATGGCAATGATTTGACATAGTGGCAGATGCTTGGTGATTTAAAATGCTCTTTAACTTTCTAGTAAAATTTCTAGTCACGTAAATTTTTTATGAATACTTAGATGACACTTTAAAAAATGCTTAAATGTCTATTTCATCTAGTTTTATGTACCCTTTACGTCAGCTATAACTTATAAATGTTGAATTGACTATGCATGAAGTTTAATTGTTGCTGAATTGAATTTTCACATTCTGTCCTCTATTTAAAAATGATATAACTAGGGCTATGGTGCATATTTTAGAATGAAATCAGTGAGGTTTGAAAGGTTACAAGTCTTCTAATAGGGATCTTTTGAATTACCTCAAAATATTACTTAAAGAAAAAGTTATGTCGTTTTAGTAGACTATGTCCGGCCAGTTTCGAAAATACAATCCAGCATTGTTGAACAAAAAATGTGCTTCAAACATTATCGTCGAGACCCAATTTTTTTATATGTAAATAGTATGTATATGAATGTTATGGTCTGTTAAAATTTTATAAATTGTAGTCGACGTTTGTTAGGCCAAACAAATTTTTCTTTCTATTACTGTGCAACCAGTATTTTCTGAATTTCCTGCAAATGTTTTTTAAAATCAAATTACACCAAAATTGTATAAGTCTATATGGTCAAATATCTTCCATTATAATTTTATATTTCAAACTCCAAAATTTTTCTTATTTACAATTTATTTTGGCTAACATTATGGAGCTTGAACAAAGATTTATTTTTAACACATCAAGTTCCAAGAATTTGGGCCGTCACATGTATATCTCGTTCTCGTTCTTGGGGTGTAACAAGTCTTAGAGGGTAGACGAGCAGCTTGACAACTTATCTCTCTTTTCTCGTCTACTTTAATCTGTGAAATCTCTTAATCTCTTTGTATTTAATTTTTATAAGATGATAATCCTATAAATTTACATAATAATAGATCTATGTTAACGAGGACGAAATAGATCTCAAAAACGCCAATAAAAATATTGTCCTTACTGGGCTTTGAGGACCTGCTAACATCGTAAGCTGGATTGGCAGAGTTGGGCAAACTTGTCAAGTTTTTTTTTCCTTGAAATTTTTAATATGATTTAAAATTGATCTACATTTGAGAAAATGATCTAAATATTCTCGTTAATAATTTTGTATTTTACACTCTTAAATTATTTTTAAAATATAGAAAAGAACTTTATAAGTCACTAGTAATAATACGATTTTTTAATAAATCAAAACCAATTAGACGGGTCATCTTGAGTCACTAGGTTAACAGATCACCTCACCTTAACAAAGACCTTTATAAATGACAGACCACCCAATTAACCTGCACAAATTTTGATGGTTTTGGTCTGAGTTTTTTGTTGAAATATAGTGGTGTTAATGAAATCAAATTATCATATACCGTATATGTAGTTTGGATACCGATTTTACACATACATATATGCAATATACTATATATGTAGCTTACCGTATTTGCAGACAGCTTATCGTATATGCAGCTTGCCGTATTTACATTCTACCGTATATGTTGCCCACCGTATTTACAGTCTACCATATTTGGCAAATATTGGTTTTACCCATTTCATATACATACAATGAGAGATTAAATACCGTATATGCAACTAACATATATCAAATTGCATTTACCAACTGTTAGCAAGAAAATTTAGATTTTTTTCTTTTTCGATTTTTATTTCTAATATAAATATAATAAATAAGTAAACTGCAAAATATATGAATCAAGTAAATTGTAAACGTGTAAATTGCTAAATAAATAATCTGCAAAAATAAATTGCAAATATGTAAATTATAGAAGATAAATAAATTTTCAACCCAAAACTTGTGCGAGCACAGTTTCCTTAAAATAGATTCCCTCCCTCATCGTAAGTGGTTGAGATTTAATCCGAGCGTCTGTTTCCTAAGATACAACGGTAAAATCTGTAGAATCTGAGCACCACAGATACTACTCTGGCGAACTGACTAGTATCCGAATAATATCACCACAATGACGACGCTGAATAGAAATCGAGATGCAGACAAGAAAAAACATGCATAATGTTTTTCTCCTACTTTTTGTGTGTGTTCTGGAATTGCTGGAGAATGAGAATTTATATAGATAAATCTACCATTAACTCTATGGCAATAAATATTAGAGATACTTTAGTTTCTGGGAGTTTTGGAAGTTTTGGAAACTCAAAAAAGTCAGTGGAGAAATTAAGAAAAAATTGCAAAAGGTGGACACTCCAAACGGGTCAAATTTTTGCTCCGTTCGGTACGATATTCATGTATGCCAGTCGTGCCCGCACACAAGTTCAAGATCCAAATGCTATTTGGTTCGTGATTTGCACCCCTGCGCGCGTATGTGGAGAGAGCCTCTATACTTCACATGATTACACATTTCCCATGTACAACCAACCATATTTAAAGTGGTTATTGCTTTCATATTTTTCCAATGTGAGACAAACTCATTTTTCCCACATAAATCATATTTCAATGGTCAACTTTGAGCCCCGATTTCTCATTCACCTGAGCTTCATTTTTAACAAATAAATATACGATTTCGATACTCTCACGAAGAAGAACACGGATCACCTTTGATATTTCAAATTGGACCAATGGGTCCCACCGAAAAGTGAGCCATTTACTCATATTTTTCAACAATCCCCCACATAAATGAAAATTGGGAGAGATATGAGACCATGAGACACAAGACTTGATAATAAAGTTCAACGGTTGAAGTTGCATAAGATAGGTAGGTATTACCCTTTGGACTTTCCCTTGTGAAAGCATATTTACTTTATTGGCTGACTAGTAGACATATTGTCCTTTAACTGCTCTGCCGTTTATGTAATCAATGATATACTCCACACAGGATTCTTCCTAACATAATTCAGTTCTCATTATTATATTCGTTTTGGCCATGATCATATGCCTGGTTTTGTGAGAGTTCTTAAAAATTGAGCCCTACACAATGCTCGTAGAAGCGGCCCCACTTCTCTCTCACATAGGTGATTTCTTATTACAAGTAACCCGCATTACTTGGCTCGATTTTCGACGCATAAGAATCATTAAAAGCCAATTGCTTATCCTTCATCCTTATGGACATTACTGTTACATAATAGGAATGGACAAGAAGTAACACCCTCACAGTGATTTTATTAAGTCTTTACAATTAGGTTGTCCCTTTGAATCTAGAGCTTCGGATCTCCAGTCAACTAGGTTTGATTTCCTTTGTAATGGCTTATCCTTTCAAGGGCTTAAGTTCCATTCATTTCGATGATTTTCCAACTAACTCTCTATTCAACCCTTTAGTTAGTGGATCCGCAATGTTATCTTTTGAACTTACATAATCAATAGTGATAACTCTAATTGAGAGTAGTTGTTTTATAGTATTGTATCTACGATGTATATGTCTAGACTTACCATTGTACATGTTACTCTGTACCCTTCCTATTGCTGATTAATTGTCACAATATATGCAAATCCTTGGCACATGTTTTGACCATCTTGGAATATTCTTTAAGAAGTTGCGCAACCATTCGGCCTCTTTACCACATTTATCTAGAGCTATAAATTCAGATTCCAT